GACACCGACTGGACTATTTGTTTGTCGTAAGTCTTAATACGTCAATAAATTCATGTCTCGTAAGCTCACATCGGTGTCGGCTTGTGCCAGTTGTGTAACGTGGAGCGTGTGAGAATATCATCCACCACACACGCATGAACACTGCCTAGACAACGAGTAGAAATACAAACCACTTATTACAATACAACTACATTCATACATACATAGACGATCACACCCACAAATTTCATGATTAAACTTTCATCAACAAAACCTTCATCAATAAAACTTTCACTAACAAAACTTCCATAACAAAACTTCCATCAACAAAACTGTTATCCAAAAAAACTTTCATCAACAAACTTTCATCAACAAAACCTTAATCAACAAAACTTTCATTAATTGAACTTTTATCAACAAATCTTTCATCAACAAGAAATTAACCAACATGCAATGACTTTCACCAACATGTTAGGTGTTGAAAGATTTAAAAAAATGTGTCTTAGGTTACTTTCTGAAGAAGAAGAAAAAACAACAGCGTACTCACTAACAATAGAGTACTCACAGACAACAAAGTACCCACAAACAATATAGTACCCACAAACAATAGAGTACCAACAAACAATAGAGTACTCACAGACAACAAAGTATTCACAAACAATATAGTACCCACAAACAATAGAGTACTCACAGACAACAAAGTATTCACAAACAATATAGTACCCACAAACAATATAGTACCCACAAACAATAGAGTACTCACAGACAACAAAGTATTCACAAACAATATAGTACCCACAAACAATATAGTACCCACAAACAATAGAGTACCGACAAACAATATAGTACCCACAAACAATATAGTACCCACAAACAATATAGTACCCACAAACAATATAGTACCCACAAACAATATAGTACCGACAAACAATATAGTACCCACAAACAATATAGTACCCACAAACAATATAGTACCCACAAACAATATAGTACTCACAAACAACAGAGTAATCACAAACAGTAGAGTACTCACTAACAATAGAGTACTCACAAACAACATAGAAACATGAACACAAAATATCACCTCGTATTAGTTCATAAATATTCATATCCATCAGTTCACAGACCAGAATCAGAGTGCCAGACTTTCTGTCACTGAGGATTACAAATGGAAAATGTCTTACTCACTGACGCACCTAAAGTCACCCTTTGGAAGTTATGTATGTTGAATTAAGAATCAACATCACAGGACTCGTGACACCCCATAAGCACTCCGTCCCCATCTTCAGCAACAAGTGAAGAGTTAAAATTCCGATGGTACTAGTAGCTGTTTGACTGTATGTCCATCTTGCCTTTCCCCTGAGTGTTGAGCATCAGCCAGATCCCCTTGTAACTCCTTAAGGTGCCATTCTCCTCAGACTGTAATGATCTATCTGTTCCTCAGCACTGTTCACTCGCTTCCAAAGGGCCCTCACAAAATCCAGCTTGTCATACATCAGTTCACCACCAAGTGGTGCAGAACCGGCCAGTCTGTCTGCCTGCTCATTCCCCAACACACCAGCTTACCTGGAGAAAATATCCAAAGGATGCTATCTACCCTAAACCCATGAAGTGATGCTTGCCACTCTGTAAGGAGCATGCCTGTCTCCACCTTTCTCAGCATGCTCTGTGAGTCAGTTACAATGACAACATGTGTGTACCGCTGATTCTCAAGCTAACAGAAGGCAGCAGTGACTGCCTCCACCTCCATTCTAGATGATGTGATATCATATGCCAGGCTTTGTTGCACCAAGCGATGTCCATTTGCCTTCGCTATGAACCCCCATGCACTTCGTCTGCCCTTCAACACAGAGCCACCTGTATATACAATCACATCACTTGGTTGGAATCGCCATGAATCATTTGTTGAACTTCTGATTCTGCAGCACAAGCTGGCCAGTCTCTGCACTCACGTCCCTACATAAATCTGATACCTGATCGAACACTTTGACCCACTCCTCTCCGCGCACAAATTTTTCAAGCCTGCACACATGTCCAGTTGTATCTTCAGCTTGCGACATCCAAGACTTTCCTCTATTCAGTCTGTGACCCTTAGCTCTATCCAGGGCTTCATGCAGGAGGTGCCTCTTGTCCGCAGCTACTCTCAGATATGACTTTGCTTGCAGAACTTTGAGCTTATCTGCAATAATAGGCAGTGCAAGTATATATCGCAAACATAGTACTGAGGTATCTCTTGTACATCCCAGAATTACCCGGATGGCTTCATTCTGTGTGCATTCAAGTTTCATCAGCTGACTATTTGATATGGTAAGCAAGCCAAGTCCATAATCTATCAATGACAGGATCACATGCTGGAACATTGTGAACAACATTCTTTGCTCCATGTCCATTGCTGCCATAATCTTGAGAGCTCTCCTCTGCCTATATGCAAGAAAATCATCGGCAAATGTCAATATTCTTCCAACACCTGGTTATTCAAGTTCTGCAATCTTGCTTGTATACACATTAAAGAGCACTGTTGAAATTGCAGAACCCTGGTGTAGTCCTGGGGCGATATTACATGGTTCTGATGTCCATGTACCCAGGCGAAGGAAACCATACGTGAATGCAGGACAGCTGCTATCCAGTTCACAAGCCAGGGACAACCCCCTTCTCCATGAGCGCAGATATGAAAATTTCATATTTGACTCTATTGTAGGCATCCTCAAGATCAAATGCTGCCACAACTGTTTCCTGTCTGTTCTGGAACCCCTCATAAACATCAAAAGCAAAAGTAACTGCACTGGACCAGGTATCTTTCAATGGCCAAAAAAAAAACGTGTAGTTTAACGATAAAAATCTTCTCTGGCACCTTGCCAATAGTATTTTGCAGGGTGATAATCATGAAACTGCTGAGTCTGAACTGATCTTTTCCTGATTTGGGAAGTGGAATCAGGTAGCTGTGTACCCATTCCTGGGGTACTGGAGCTGTTCTGATGCTCTGGTTGAAGTTAAAAGCCATCTCCCTTAAGTCTTCATCACTCATGCTCTTTATGTGGGCATACTTGACTCTGTCTGGCCCCGGCGCAGTGTCCTTTGCTTTTTGCAATACATGTTTTATATCCTCCACCCTAATAATATCCTCAAATTAATTATCATTTATTGTATTATACAGATTTTCTCTGAGTTTTTAAGCTCCCCATCATTATGATCAGTTTGGGCTATAAATCTCTTCAAAAATGCTTTCCCACCCCTTTCTCTTTGTTCTCATTGGTATATCATTATCAGTGTATATAATGCCTGTTGTAATAGGCCAATCCTTCCTTTGCATCTGTCTGTGAAATCTCCAAAACCTACCCAGTGATCTATCCCCTCCAATTTTGCTCATAAAATTTTCCCATTTAGCCTTCTTTGCATCTGCTGCACTGCCAGTTATGTTTAATAACATTACTCTAAATAAAATTAATTTTACACTGACCAAACATTTAGATAACACTGATAATTTTCAAGATGTTAACATAATATTTTGTAATATTCAATTGCTGGTAATTAAAGGCTACTGTGTTTCTTGCTTTAAAGTACTCAGGTAATGGAACTTTCAACTTCACAGTAAATTGGTCACTCCAAAGTTGTTCCATTCTTTAATCTCACATCTAATCTCAGACCTAATCTCACATATAATCTCACAAGCATTCTCAGATATAATCTCACACTTAATCTCACATCTAAACTCACACCATATCTTGCACTTAATCTCACACCTAATCTCACCCCTGGTCTCACACCTAGCCTTTTCCATGGTCTCCTACCTAATCTGACACCTGGTCTCACACCTAGCATCGTCCCTGGTTTCACACCTGGTCTCTCACACCTAATGTATCTCTAGTCTCACATCTAATCTCACACTTAGCCTCACCCCATGGTCTCCCATACAATCTCACATTTAATTTCACACCTGGTCCCATACCTGGTCTCACATCTAATCTCACACCTGGTCCCATGCAGGGTCTCACACTTAATCTGACACATAATCTCCCAACTAATTTCACACCTGGTCTCACCTAATCTCACACCTGGTCTTACATTTAATCTCACACCTGGTCTGACAACTAATCTCAAACCTGGTTTCACATTTAATCTCACACATGGTCCCACAGCTAATCTCACACCTGTTGTCACACCTAGTCTCACACCTCATCTCACACATGGTCCCACAGCTAATCTCACACCTGTTGTCACACCTAGTCTCACACCTCATCCCATTCATGGTCTCACAACTAATCTCACACATGGACCCACAGCTAATCTCACACCTGTTGTCACACCTGGTCTCACACCTCATCTCATTCATGGTCTCACAGCTAATCTCACACCTGTTGTCACACCTAGTCTCACACCTCATCCCATTCATGGTCTCACAGCTAATCTCACACCTGTTGTCACACCTAGTCTCACACCTCATCCCATTCATGGTCTCACAACTAATCTCACACATGGTCCCACAGCTAATCTCACACCTGTTGTCACACCTAGTCTCACACCTCATCCCATTCATGGTCTCACAGCTAATCTCACACCTGTTGTCACACCTAGTCTCACACCTAATCCCATTCATGGTCTCACAGCTAATCTCACACCTGTTGTCACACCTAGTCTCACACCTCATCCTATTCATGGTCTCACAGCTATTCTCACACCTGTTGTCACACCTAGTCTCACACCTCATCCCATTCATGGTCTCACAGCTAATCTCACACCTGTTGTCACACCTAGTCTCACACCTCATCTCATTCATGGTCTCACAGCTAATCTCACACCTGTTGTCACACCTAGTCTCACACCTCATCTCATTCATGGTCTCACAGCTAATCTCACACCTGTTGTCACACCTAGTCTCACACCTCATCTCATTCATGGTCTCACAACTAATCTCACACCTGTTGTCACACCTAGTCTCACATCTGTTGTCACACCTAGTCTCACACCTCATCTCATTCATGGTCTCACAACTAATCTCACACCTGTTGTCACACCTAGTCTCACACCTCATCCCATTCATGGTCTCACAGCTAATCTCACACCTGTTGTCACACCTAGTCTCACACCTCATCCCATTCATGGTCCCACAGCTAATCTCACACCTGTTGTCACGCCTAGTCTCACACCACATCTCATTCATGGTCTCACAGCTAATCTCACACCTGTTGTCACACCTAGTCTCACACCTCATCCCATTCATGGTCTCACAACTAATCTCACACCTGTTGTCACACCTAGTCTCACACCTCATCCCATTCATGGTCTCACAGCTAATCTCACACCTGTTGTCACACCTAGTCTCACACCTCATCTCATTCATGGTCTCACAACTAATCTCACACCTGTTGTCACACCTAGTCTCACACCTCATCTCATTCATGGTCTCACAGCTAATCTCACACCTGTTGTCACACCTAGTCTCACACCTCATCTCATTCATGGTCTCACAGCTAATCTCACACCTGTTGTCACACCTAGTCTCACACCTCATCTCATTTATGGTCTCACAACTAATCTCACACCTGTTGTCACACCTAGTCTCACACCTCATCCCATTCATGGTCTCACAGCTAATCTCACACCTGTTGTCACACCTAGTCTCACACCTCATCTCATTCATGGTCTCACAACTAATCTCACACCTGTTGTCACACCTAGTCTCACACCTCATCTCATTCATGGTCTCACAGCTAATCTCACACCTGTTGTCACACCTAGTCTCACACCTCATCCCATTCATGGTCTCACAGCTAATCTCACACCTGTTGTCACACCTAGTCTCACACCTCATCTCATTCATGGTCTCACAACTAATCTCACACCTGTTGTCACACCTAGTCTCACACCTCATCTCATTCATGGTCTCACAGCTAATCTCACACCTGTTGTCACACCTAGTCTCACACCTCATCCCATTCATGGTCTCACAACTAATCTCACACCTGTTGTCACACCTAGTCTCACACCTCATCTCATTCATGGTCTCACAGCTAATCTCACACCTGTTGTCACACCTAGTCTCACACCTCATCTCATTCATGGTCTCACAGCTAATCTCACACCTGTTGTCACACCTAGTCTCACACCTCATCTCATTCATGGTCTCACAGCTAATCTCACACCTGTTGTCACACCTAGTCTCACAGCTAATCTCACACCTGTTGTCACACCTAGTCTCACACCTCATCCCATTCATGGTCTCACAGCTAATCTCACACCTGTTGTCACACCTAGTCTCACACCTCATCCCATCATCATGGTCTCACAGCTAATCTCACACCTGTTGTTGTCACACCTAGTCTCACAGCTAATCTCACACCTGTTGTCACACCTAGTCTCACACCTCATCCCATTCATGGTCTCACAGCTAATCTCACACCTGTTGTCACACCTAGTCTCACACCTCATCCCATTCATGGTCTCACAGCTAATCTCACACCTGTTGTCACACCTAGTCTCACACCTCATCTCATTCATGGTCTCACAGCTAATCTCACACCTGTTGTCACACCTAGTCTCACACCTCATCCCATTCATGGTCTCACAGCTAATCTCACACCTGTTGTCACACCTAGTCTCACACCTCATCCCATTCATGGTCTCACAGCTAATCTAACACCTGTTGTCACACCTAGTCTCACACCTCATCCCATTCATGGTCTCACAGCTAATCTCACACCTGTTGTCACACCTAGTCTCACACCTCATCTCATTCATGGTCTCACAGCTAATCTCACACCTGTTGTCACACCTAGTCTCACACCTCATCTCATTCATGGTCTCACAGCTAATCTCACACCTGTTTGTCACACCTAGTCTCACACCTCATCTCACACCTGGTCTCACACCTAATCTCACACCTGTTGTCACACCTAGTCTCACACCTGTTGTCTCACCTCTAGTCACAAAATATCTCATAACACACCTGTTGTCACACCTGGTCTCACACAGGAGCACCTTTATTTGCTGCTGCCCATCAAAGTTTGGCTGGTATTTCAAGGATCACTGTCTCTCTGTGTAGAAGTGAAGTTCTAGCTATGACCTTGCTTTTTTCTGAACCTGAATTAGGGGAGAAGAGCTCTTCAACTCAGTCTCCTTGGACATGTGTCCCTGCCACCCTTTACTACGATATAAACATGTGTGCAGGGGGGATGTCAATGGTACAGGTTTTGAGGGGGATTTGTTGGAACAAAATGCCATGGACTCAACAGCATGGAGGGTCACAGATGAGGGAGAGTTGAGGGTCTGGAAAGAAGCACACTAAATATGTGTGATGGCATCGATGGTCGTAAAACCCCATGCTATAATCTTAACATGGCAGGTCATACTAGGTACACCCACCATCACCATGGACTGTGACCCCCATGCCTCCTCACAGCACAATATAACACTCAATCAATCCTCATCGTGCCCAGAGGCACATAAGGCAGAGACAAACTGTCGCCATGCAATTCAATCCTGAGCCATTCTCTCTATCTCCAGCTTTGTCTTTTGCGTAGCCTTGAGTTCAGCCTCAAAGGTAAGCTTCCAAGTACCTCTGGGCCGTCTCTTCCTCGCTGTCCTTGTGGTGTCCACTGCATTGCCTGTCTCGGTCGTCTCTTTTTCTTCATTCTGAGGATGTGTCCAATCCACCTCCATCTTCGTTTTTTGATTTCTAAATTTACATCTTCTAAGTCTGTCATTTGTTGTAATCGAGAATTGCTGATTTTATCTTTCCATTTGAACCCCAACAATTTTCTGAGGTCTTCCCTCAAAGCCTTTAAACATGCTCTCTATCTTTCTGTCTGTTTTCTAAGTTTCTGTTCCATAGAGAAAACTGTCCTAACGTTTAGTTACAGATGTTCTTTACTTTAGCTGATGACACAGATATCATCTGCAAAGTCAAAAATGTTCCAGGTGTTCAAGAAGGTGCCATTAAAGGCGCGTCCATGTGCCTGTGGTTGCTTTTTTCGTAACATAAACTGTCACTATTAGAAACATGAAAGGTGACAAAATGCCCCCTTGTCGGACTGCTGATGTTACCCTGAAGTATTCTGTCCCTTTCTTTCCCTTTGCTTTGGTATCCTTAATAGAGTCCTTTAATTATTTTTATAACTTTATCTGGTAACCCATACGCAGCAAGGATCCCCCACATTATTGTTCAATCTAGACTGTCAAAGGCCTGTTCAAGGTCTATAACGTTTATATACAATGTGGCATTCCATTCTAAAGCTTGTTCCACAATATTTCTGAAAGTGAAAATATGATCACAGCAGTTTCTACCTTTTCTGCCTGATCTTTCGACAACATTCTGTCTATTTTTATTCTCCAGTTGATTAAATCCAGTCCTACGAACAGCAAGCAACTAAGTTTATTACATTTGACTAAGCCTAGAATAGACATATAAACAGTGTATAGCTATATTCTGCTGACATCAATTTTATGTAGAAATACTATCTATCCACTTAATCTGATAACGTGTAAGGAGAGCAGTTATCTATTCTCTATCATCTAACTTTTCAATCACATAATCTACATGATATCGTGATTATTATGCATCCTAAATGTAGTAATAATCTACTATATGTCATTATCATTATATATAATGAGCTAAAGGCATGTATTAGAAAGCATTACATGTATGCATGTATGTTGTGATCTATGCTTTATGGACAATATTGTATTATATGTTTAGCTGTTTGTGTAGGCTAGTGTGATTGTGTATTTGACATGTTTTTGTGTATTACCAGTAAGCATGGCTTGAATATGAGATATTCGGATTTTTAAACGGAGATTCGTGTATGTATGTAATGTTTTTCTTTGTCAGTATGTTTAGGTGTTTGTTTATGGCAGTATATTATCTTGATAGAGATTAGTTGTAAAAGTGAGAGTCTTGTCATGACCAATTACTAGTGGTATGCATATGGTAATGATGTTGTCTTTGACTTAGTATGTGTGTTGCCCTGATGAAGGTCATGATTTATAGCGTCTGTGCGTACTACTTAAGTGTGACTTGTAACATAGTATATACTCCAGTGCTGTTCAAAATGTACGTATGTGATTGTCATCTCGATACACCGGGTAGTGACACACTGTTAAGTGGATAATGATGCAATAAGTGCCTGTGGTGTGTCTGAGAGTTGCGTTTCTTAGCTGAAATAGTGCGCGGTATGTGTACTCAGAACTGCTTAGTATGATTAATATTGTAATAGAAGTATGTATATATTATGAGTCTTTTCACGACAACGGCACAAGCTGTATGTTGCGCGCTGTGTGT